GACACTCCCAATAATTTGCATTATGAAAATCTCATCTTTTTTAGTAAGAATTGAACTCAAGGAAAGTGAATTTACTCTCTTTTTTTTCTTGTCTAACTACCACTAGATCACAACGATTTGACTAAAGTTATGATATTCATTTTCTCCGATGTTAGATTGGCTTAATTTCATATTGAGCCGAATTAGAAGTGACAGTGCTGCCTGCTTTGGGAAGGATCGTATTATTTGTGAACAAATGTGAATAATCAAGACTTGAGTGTTTTTTCTGAAACATCAATAAAAACGGGGCAATAACATGAATAATCAAGACTTGAAGGGGTTTACAACAGACATTTCTAAAGCTATTGTCTTGTTTGGCTGTGTGACTAATAGAAATCTCAACGCCTGCACGAATTCATCTCTTCCCCCTTCGCTCTCCATCAGTAGTACCTTGAGGTGATATTTTTAGTAAAAATTGATCCTTTAATTCACTCTCTGATCACTATGATCCGTTGGTATAATCGATTAGGGTTCGCATTTTACCGATCTCTCTGCATTCATATCTGAATTTCAGGTTATTTCGAGAATGTGAATTGGTTTGTGTGTCTGAATCTCTTAGATGACGACTCGGAACTCCGGCAAGGAGCAACCAAAGTGGACGGCTTTCTTAACGAAGCTACTCGCAAACCTTATAGTAGATCAAGTCCTTAAAGGAAACAGAGTAAACAATTCCTTTTCTAATAAAGCTTGGAATTTTATATCCGATGAGTTTTACAAAAGAAGTGGCTTTAAATGGGATAAAGAACATCTCAAGAACAGATTTGCTGTTCTCAGACGCCAATATGGAGTTGTTAAGTTACTTCTAGCTCGAGATGACTTCGTTTTTGATGAATCAAATGGTTTCATTATCGCTAATGATGAAGCTTGGGACCAATATGTAACGGTCTTGTCTTTTTCTCTCTCTTCCTATGCTCTGTTTCCACTTTCCTTCATTATCTATCTGTTTTGCTGATCTTATTGGTCTTAAAATCAGGAGTGTCCAGATGCAGAGGGTATAAGAACTGATGGTTGTCCAATTTACAAGCAGCTCTCTCAGATATTCGCAGAAGAGTCCATGTCAAACGGGAAACACGAAACAACGCGTCCTTACTTCACCCGTCTTAAGGAACCTGTGTTGTTGCCTCAAACCGAGGCGGAACTCTCATCTGAGTACGATGATGCCGCTGCAGTTTGTCCTCCTACTCTTAAGAGGAAGAGGCGTAGTAGGGGCATGGAGGCTGCTATTGCCAATGCTATATTCGAAATGGCAGATGCATCGAAGCTGCGGACTACTGCTTTGACGCAGCTGAGGAGCAGGTTCTCTCTCGCCGAATGTATCAGAGAGCTAGATCGGATTCAGGGTGTAGCAGAGAATGTCTATTTTGCAGCACTCGAGTTCTTCAATAACCCAAGTGCAAGAGAGACATTCTTGTCGTTGAAAAGAGACTTGCGTTTGCCTTGGCTTCAATGGAAATGTAATGTACTTACATCTCTATCAATCAATGTACATGAATCAGAAGCCCTTAACTTGTCAAGCAACGATTCAATGAAAAGTTTGTAACGAATTTCATTTTCGAAAATAGCAAATTCATAACATTTTGCAAAAACAGAGAGCAGATGGTAAAGCAATTCGTTTGATGTATCTTCTTCCTCTCTCTAAGGAAGCAACCTCTTGACCTCCTCTTGCTCCTCACCGATACTCTTAGCTTGGTTGTACACAGACTCAAAGGCTTGCATACAAACACTTGAAAACCCAACCATTGCCTGAAACACATGTGGGAATCCCATCTGCAAGTTATTTAGAGTCATGGCTCTAGTCACACTCACTGACTTCTCATGCTTGCTTTTCTCTTCTTCTGCTTTTCCTTTTAGCATCTCAACTTTTGCTCTCTTCTCTATCACCGGGTTCTTTTTCCTGCTCTCAGGCACCGAGTAGGGACTGTACTTGCTCTCGAGCGCTCTCAGCGAAGCTGATTTCTTCTCAAAATCTTTTGACATGGATTCCGATCTCTTCTTTTGCTTATGCTCGTCGGCCTGTTGAGCCACGATTCCATGGACTGCGGTAAGAAAGCTCTTGATACCTTCAGATGCTACTTTATCAGGGATCCGGTCAATAGCCAAATGCCATTCCTCGCAGAAGCTGTATATCTTTGACTCGTAGCTACTCCTAACGAGCGGATTCTTGCTGAACTGGAACAAGCTTAACCTGAGCCAACCTGTGAGAGATTGTATGTAGTCACGCTGCGCCTTGACCAAGTTGCAGAAAGAGTGATGCCATTGTTGGATCTCGAGTTCGAGCTGAAGAGTTGATTGTCGGTGAAGCTCTGAAGTTGGTTCAGTGGAGGGAATGGTGTTGAGGTACTTAAGCTGCTGAACAATATGGGTTTGAACCTGATGGCTCTCATACATACTCCTCCACATACACATCAACCTACATTACATTATACAAAAAACTTGTTCAAAAACCAAAGTAAGATGCTTGTATTAGATGAAGCAAATGGTATATACAACTAACCCTTTAACAAGCTCGACGAGCTGAGGATAGAGCTCGGTCTCTCTGAGCTTGATGATTTCGTTAGAAGCGCTTTGAATGGCCTGCGAAGACACAGTGAGCTGAGATTCTAACTTCTCGACGTCTTTCTTAGCTTTCTCGGTCTTTACATACTCAGCTCTCTTCATCTCAAGCCTCCTCACTTGCTCCACTTTCTTCTCATGCTCCATCTTTACGCTCTCTGCATTCTGCAACAACCCACCACATTCACAATAACAACAAACACTCACTCACTCTTTGCTTGACGATATATATCTGTGTCAGAATCATTATCAGAATTAAGTGCACATGTGGGTCTCTTACACTATCTGCTCACTCTTTGGACCCACCACAATCCTTTAATTCGACATGAAACAAACCAAATTCGAATCTTTTTTCATATCCATATTTAGATGAAATCTAAGCAAGCAAGTTTCAACATTTAATTTGAAATCTAAAGAATGAAACTTTATAAATGAAATATACCTTAACTTCTTGAAATAGCTTCTTCTCCCAAGCATAGAGTCTATCAACAGTAGAAGAATGGCAACCAACAATGCAATTGCCTCCTCCTCCAACTACTACACCTCCTGCGTTTCTGTATTCATTCAACTTAGGAGCAAATCCCCTTGTCCAAAACGCCGTCGGATTCATATTGCATTCGTAGTTACTGTACATTTTCCCTAGAGACACCCCAAAAAAAACACAAATCAAAATTCACTTAGGAAGAAGAAAAGACAAGAGCTTGATTGATTGAAATTTACCTCCTTTGGCATGAGGAGAATTGATAGAAGTGGAGATTTCAAGAAGAGAAGAGAGTGGTGCACCGGAATCTGCAGCTTTGATGAAATATTCATCGACTTCTTTAATAATCTCCATCAGATCTTTACTGTTTCTAGACACAACAACAGCTAACTCGCTTCCTGTAGTAGTCGTCGTCGTCATTGTATCTTTGGAGAATCCACTCACTACAGACGAAGCTTGAGGAGGAGTAGATGTCGTCGGAGCCGTCGTGGCAGCTGTGTCTGAAGCTGTGGCGGTTCCGGTGGCTGTTGCGGTGGTTGTTTCTTCTTCCCATTCTTCTTCTGAGGAAGAAGGAGGAGGTGGAATAAACGGATCCCAAAAGTCCCATGTAGAAGAAGGAGGAGGAGGAGGAGGTGGTGGTGGTGGAGGAGGAAGAACGGAGGAACCGGTGGTTGAAGTCCATGTGGTTTCAGAGCCAGGGCTTAGAGGAGGAGGACGCGGCGGAGCAGGAGGAGGTGGTGGTGGTGATGGAGGAGGAGGGAGATTGTGGTGGTGGAGGTGAAGAGGTGTTTCAATGGAGGAGAAGTGGAGGAGAGAAGAGCCGGTGGCGCGTAGAGAACGGAGATAAAGCGCGTGAGATACAGAGAGAGTTTGTCTAGCTTTAACAAGATGTTTCAAGTATCTCTTCCTTGCTTTGCAACGAGACACTATCTCTTTTCTATCTATTCTTGACTGACAACAACCCATGTCTGAAAAAATCAATGTGTCTTCTTCTTCTTCACCATGCACTCAACAGAAAATAAAATAAAAATC